GTATTTTTGGTGAATATAACCTTACCCACTGCATAGGCCACTCGAGGAGAGGACAAAGTCAAAGTTTCTATTTACACCTACGACCTCCCACAAGTGGTGGAGGACATAGGCGTTAAATGCAAAATTTTTGCTGATGATTTAAAAATCTACAGGTCACTTGTAAGTGAAACGGACTCTGCATTGATTCAAAAGGCCATTGATGCAGTTTTGGACTGGTCAAAAATGTGGGAGCTACCACTAGCGTCCGAGAAGACATTGGTGCTGCACTTAGGGAAAAGTCAACCCAGCCATAGTTACCACATCGGGGACTTTGTGCTCAAAAATGTTGGTGAAGTTAGAGATTTGGTAGGTATATAACCAACAAAGCGGAATCCAGGCTTTTCCAATTGCTGAGGAGTTTTTATACCAAAGACCCGTGCCTCCTTATTAAGGCTTACAAATCTTTCATTCGCCCCATATTGGAGTACGGCACAACTATTTTCTATCCGCAGACCAAGAAGTCTATCTCAAGACTAGATGCCATTCAAAATAGTTTCACTAGGAAGGTGTTAATCCGGGCCTTAGGTTTCAATTATAAGGCTATACCTAGGGGGGTCATAAGAAATAAAATGCTTGGCCTTGAGTCTCTTCAATGTAGGAGAAGGAAATTCGACCTTCTGACAGCATTCAAAATCATCACAGGGAGCATGGTTGTTGATAGGCAAGCTTTCATTACCCTTCTCCCGTCCACTACTAGAGGAGAGAGGCTAAAACCTCTTCTCCCTATGGCCAAGTCCTCCATAAGAGCAAAATTCTTCACTGTGCGGGCCTTCTCTGAGTTCGCTAAATTTAGCAAAAAGTACCCTTTCGCGAGTAGCACAGCTCAGCTGAAGTCATATATGCACAAGTACTATGCTTAGGGCAATCAATATCTTTTTTCTACAATTTTATCAGGCCATATCTATTCTTGGGGCTGTTCACTTTCTTGCTTTCTCACTTTCTCAATTGGCCATTTCTTATCATTTCATTGTACAATGTCCATGGTTGTTGTGTTGATGTTACTTAATGTTTTCATTGTTCTGTGTTATTAAATCCATGTGCTCAATGCGCATGCAATAAATCTAAATCATAAATCTAAACGGACTTGAGTTTCAATTCACCTCCCATGCACGCGGCATTGACCGACCTCTGTTTTGGATGTGCCACGCATTCTTCTTCCATTCATTATTACGGTGATACTTGAGTACAGTTTGGCTTCTACTATGACCTGAAGGAATTACCCGACGTACAAGTCGGTGTTTCTTCCTTCTCAGACGAGTCGGACTCAAGCCGATCCCAGAAGAACGCTCTTCCACTGACTCTACGAACAGGAGCTGGAGTCACCTAGACTGGGAGCCAAAGACATTCGATTCAAAGTGTAAGAGGATGACAGATAGCGATCCTGAGCCTGAGCGTAAAACACTGAAGTTTGGTCAGTCATGGAAAAACTCATTAGGGCAGAGAAATTAAATGCACGAATCGGGGGAAATGCTTCCCTGAGGGATCAAGAAGAGATCTTACGCGCTCGTAAACCTAAGCAGGCAATAAACGGAGCGCTGATTGGACACGTGAAAAGGAGATGCTGGTTACGAATTGTGGGATATATGGGAAACGTGAAAAAGGCGGTTGTTCTTTAGAGTGTAATTAGGCTGATCGATATCAAATCGACATTTCAAAAATCATACACAAACTTTCCACTTGAAAACTGCGTGGATCCGCCACGTGAAAATGAAGAAATGCAAGATTGGAAGAGAGAAAGACGAATGAATTTCAAGCTCCATAGAGGTACAGCCTTGTATAGCAAAAATGTTGTTGAAAATTTAGATAAAAAAAGATTATAATGATACAAAATACGGGTGAAACTCCAGTTCGGGGGGGGGCCACTCCATTGCTATCTTATCCGTAGTACTAGAGAGCAGTTCTTTGGGCTATCGAACACTACGGATAAGATAATAAGTGAACGACTCATTTCGAGCGTACTTTTGATAAGGACCGGTGGATGTCCTACATTCCACACTACCTGCCCACATCCCATCCACTTTTCTGCACAGGTGATCCACCCTGGAGCTCCTGCACCCTTAGCCCTTTGCGGAGGTGTCCTTTCTCCTGGTCCAGGACCGTTCCCTTGGGTCATGGCAGGCGGAAATGTGAAAACGTTTCAGGGTTTCTCACCCATTACACCAATATTTATCAGAAGTCTACTTTAAATGAGTCGATTACGTGTCGTGAGCCCTCTAATCCTTATCTTGAGTATTGGAGAAAAAATGGAGTGCCCCCCCCCCGAACTGGAGTTTCACCCAAAATACGTGACTTGATGTGAGGAATGATGTGTGTGAAAAATGCACAAAAGGAAAAGATTCGAGCGTATACGGTAAACTATGGTCAGCATACTGTATAACAAATGTTGGCAGCCGTACCATTTACGGGAAAAGGCCTTATTTTGCCATCGGAAAACCAGTTTTCTGTTATTATCCAAGTGAAGTGAGTTTTGTCAAGAGCTCTCTCTTTTTAGACAGAACAGATCGATATTATTTTAGTGGTTCTATTTACTAATGAACCTTCCACGAACGGTAGAAGTTTTATTGAGGTTTCCAAAGTGGGGGTCAGAGAAGTGGGAAAAATCGCCCATTATCGCGAAGCTGACCTCCCTAGATGGATCTCACCCAGCATAAATAAGGACATTACCTCTGACAGGAACAAGACTTTTCGTGAAAAAGTCGACAAACATAATAAAATTTGACAAATTTTAGCGCCCAAGTCTTGAGGGTGCCGACATAATAACATTTCCACAATTCAAAGGGAAGTAGAGTGCATGGCTCATTCTGAAAGAACTGACCAGCACCGAGCTTCTTTTTTCTATTGTTTTTCATCCGATTCGGTACTACGCGAGTGACTCCAGGATTGTTTACATAAGTAAATAAACAAACGAATAAGCTAACTCATAAGCAATAAGTAAACAAACGCACCAGTAAACAAACAGATAGGTGCGAATAGTATGGGTTGGGAAAAGCGTTGTAATTAACAGATGTAATATCAGAAACTAGGTTTGCTAGGTTTGAACGGGTCCTTAATGCTAAATATTTTCATTTTGGAAAAATTGATTGACAATTTTGGTTTCCTAAGAAATTCAATAAGTTTTAAGAAATCTCTAAGATAAGGGAATATTTCTTAAGATGAGCAGAAATCACGAACCTTGGTGCCAGCTGACATTGAGCTACACTGCTGCTCACCACACACACACAGCCCCCGAATCGATACTGCCACTGCCCAACACCCTCGTGGTGTTCCTCTTAACCGCCCACCAGTCGGACTCCCATATGGAAAGGTCACCGGGGAAAAAGATGACGAAGTCATGTTTGGACAGCTTGGCCAATTGGAAGCGTCGATTGTCCTTTGACAATGAGGTTCCAGGGCCCAGTGGGACCCGAAAAAGCCTCGTCTTTCCTTCCAAGCCCAAGATGGTCGGACTGATTACGGGTGACTTCCTTTCTAAGACCTTCACAGGGCTTTGCTGCCGGCAATTTTTCAAGGAACATTCACGGCCAATCGCTCAACTGTGTCATCGCAAAAAGAGTACCCTACATCACCATCGAGGATTTGGAGAGGGCCCTGATGAAATTCTTAGAAGGATAGGAGGATCCTCTATGGTATATCGGGCACTATAGCAAGATACGAGGCATCCTCCGAGACTGAGTCCAGGGGCCGTATGCTATCCTCCCCGAAGGGCTTGGGGGACGAAAATCCCTTTAAATTTCTGTCTCCCCACTGGGATTGCCCTGATAAGGGCCTACATTTAATGTATGTATGTAGGTAAAGTAAACATGCACTGAAAATGAAGAAACTATATCGTTCAAAACAAATAAATTTAAAGGAAACTTTGGATCACCTAGCTTCGGGGAAGCATAGCATACGGCCCCAGGAAAAGACAGTAAATTTAGGAAAAATGAGAATTTTTCGCGCTTCCTGGAGTCTTCTTCCCTCGCCTGCTCAGTCCCGTTTTCAACTGAAGGAGAGCTCTAGGCGGTTCGAAATGCACAATAATGCGCAGTATCTTGCGATAAAGCGCCAGATATCGCCTCACTTGAATAAAGTGCTAGAACGAACTGTACGTTATGGAAAGAAGATTGAAAGCAGTCTAATCCTCTGAGCAGCGATCGCCCCATACGGGTGAGTGGAGCATTCCTGTATTACAGTACCAATTATGCCTTTAAAGGGCTATCAAATTTATCAACCATTGAGAATACTGGGTAGCAGGGTCAACCGTCCGTTGGACAAAGTCCAACGCGACGACGAGAGTAATGCCGAGAGTGAACGTACGCACGGAGACACAGACGGCTCGCGGGTGGCGAGAGTGAATGCCGGCGCGGAGAGCGGTGAACATCGGTCCAACGTCGCTCCAATATCGGTCCAACGTAACGGTTGACCCTGCTGGGTAGTACTGCTTACATGCCAGTGCGACCTGTGCTTTGGCATGAGTGTATGATCGCTTTTGTTGGTGCTTTTGCAGCTTACGGAGTTATGTGGAGAATCATTAATCGCAAACCGACTGCTATACGCCGATCGAGAATTGGCTTGTCATGGTGGACAACCAGCTCGCCTCCTCCCCCCATCCCTCTCCCCCCACCCCTCCCAAATTGCTTATGATTTCAGAGAGAGCAAAATTGAGATGTGAACGCAACCAGAGACCATTTAAGCCATATCGGCTCATAATGTTACACTGTTGAACAATCTCGCACAAATCAAGGAAATGATGTCACTGAAGGCACGGTTGTCAGACAGGGTAGGGGCGTAGGTCGGCAACTGTAGACAGAACTTTAAAGGAATCTTCCACGGACCATGGACCAGTGGGCGGGACCGGAAGTTTTTGTGACGAAATGCATGGTAGGTACGGATCCACGTGTCGAACGCACGAACGTGAACAGGATTCACTTCAAACCTTCCCATGAACGTGGATCCGTACCTACCATGTCGCAAAACCACTTCCGGTCCCGCCCACTGGTCCATGGTCCGTGGAAGATTCCTTTAACTTGCTCTTGTTAAATCGTGGCAGCGCCTTTACTCTCTGCGCTCGGCATTCTTAGCTGCATTCATGCTGTAGAATGGGTCTCAGGCTCTCATGTTCTTGGAGACTGGACGTGGAAAGGGGAACATTCAAAGAGCGGCCACTTACATGGCTGTAAGGAGAGGGAGGAGTTAGGCAGTTGTGTTTTCATCCCTGTGTTTTCTCTCCCTTGGGATTAGTTCCAGTGTCACCAACCATCGGCCCTGTTTTGAATGTCCCCCAAGGCCTCCTGCGCACGGACTCCCAAACATACTTCGCTCACTTTTCACAGGAAGTCCCGTAGCGAGTAAAGCCGCTCTAGTCGTCCAAGCTACGCCACCCCATCCTACATATCATACTACCCCGTAGTTAAAACCGGATAGTCTCCGTACTACAGTGTACAATACTTTGCAGAGTTATCTTGTAGTTAGTTATCAGTTGCAAGCTAATTTCTCTTATGATGGAAAAATCACATTTATAAATCGAAAAAAATTATATGGGGATGCAATGAAAAACTCACATCACTCCATTCCTCGATGACTTTCTGCCGTTCTTCCATCCACCGCTCTTGGTCTGCTCTGAGCATTTCTTCGTTGAGTCGATAAGCGTGCTGATTACATCGAGAGAACTTCGACCGTACGAGTGACTCAAATGCCTGGAATGATTTTAACCAACACTGCAATCCTTTTTTGATAAAAAATTATACTTCTCGATTAATAACCTAAGAAACCAACGTAACACACGTAAGAAGAAAGTTCGGCGGTGGATGTAGAGTAGTTACAAGTTGGCGCTGTTTTTACACGCGCGGTCCAGGGATCAAATATATGTGCGTCGTCCAGGTCAAGCAAGTGCTCCATCCCTCCGGAGTCGGTTACATGATACCAGACCTGCTTGAGAGAAAACACTGCCCTGTGCGGTGGTTGGCCCCTGGTAGCTATTGCATAGGACAAATTCATTCAAAACACCATTACGATTTTTACTGGGAGTAGAATGCGTGGCGCATCCCAGGAAGGGATCGATGTACGCCCATCGATGCTCATCAATTATTTTTAATCTGTGATTCCAGCTGTTTGATTGATGCATGCTATCGCTCTATAAATTCCTGCTCAGACACTTTCCACTGTCATTATTTTACCAAGGTGCACCGTAGACATAACAAACAAGAGCCCTGGCGTTGGTGATGATAAAAGTAAACCAAAAAATTAGCATTATTAGAGGGGAAAGCCTATGAACATCTGGGCGCTATCGCACGATACGAGGTGGCAATACGGTTAGAACTGCGTAAAAAATCTTCTTGTTGTTAAAATCGGGACTGAGGCGGAGGAGGGAAACTCCGGGGTGCGCGAACAATCTTCATTTTCCCGAAGTTCCTGCCCCTCCTAGGCTTAGTCGTAGAGCATGCCCCCTATCTTGCGATAGCGTCATTTGCAATGCTTAGGTAATAAAATCAGGGATAGCTACGTCTGATGAGATGACCTGAACCATGTGCCAAAACTTTGGTAATCATTACAAGAGCAGCGACAGGAACCTCGAGTAATACTTCAGTAGAGTTCAAAAAGCAAGCTGTAGTTGACCTGAGCCCGTTTCAAAAGCAAAATCGAAGAATTGAAGAAAATGGACTTGTCACTCAATGCAGGGCCCTTCTTTTATAGGTACAAGGGCTAACAGAAGGATAAGATCAGACAACAGAATGCCGTTAATTTGGATGTTACTACTCGATTTTGAAAAAAAAAGTCGAATGCGGGGCGCAACTCAGAAAGGGGGCTAACCAGCGCATGACGCTCCCACAGCTTTGATCGGCTCAAGTTAAGTTTCTGGACGATTGAAACCAACAATCGGAAACAAATCAGCTGGTAGACGAATAAGCTCTGGCAATGGCAGTAGAACTATAAAAAATATTCTATTGAAAAAATAGCAAATGAAATTGCGCCGAACTGATATAACTAAACAAGGAAGGTTGACATGGGCATAAGTAGATAACTTTAAAAGGAGCTGAAAAGTTCCTTTCGAATTTCAAAGAAATGGCACAGAATGAGAAGGATCACATGAGCATAGCAACAGTGGCGACTCAATGACAGCGATTTCTCTGTGGCGTCGCTATGGGAACCCACTTGAAGACACGGGTCGCGACTAGGTCCTCAAAAGCAATTCCTTTCTTGGGTAAGGTAGCATGGTGTCTTAGCACAGGAATTGTGAGGACACATGAGCGTTGAAGCCGTGTCTTGATCGCTTCGTATGCTGACAACCATAAACGTTCGCAATATACACGCTGTCTGGGCCCTCTCACATCACGTACTCTCTCTTCAACGCGCTACGTTTCGCCCTCGTATGGCGATCTACCTTGCGAAAAATAGGGACCTGAATCTTCTTTTTAGCTCATTCGGCTTTTTTGCACTGATTTTTTCCACACCATTTGTTTCATTTTCAAGAAAAATAACGTAGCAAGTGGATCGCCATCTTAGTCCTCACCGAAAGCACAACATTTTTTGGCAAATCATTTCGGTTCTAGCGAGTTGGTCAATCAAACGTTGCTGAATTGGCGCTATCACAAGATGTAGGGCACTGTGGTGGCAATACAGTTGAAATCGCGTAGAGCGTTTCCTTTTTTGGAAAAAAAATTGCGCTAACAAGGAAGGATGGTAGGTCGAAGTGGCCGTTCGAAATGAGAATGTATACCTCCTGATGCGTCTCCAGACGCTGATTCCAAATCTGCCTTCCAAATCTGCTAAACGACTCTCCGAACGGAGTTATGAAGCGTAATAGCTCAGTGGTGATGGTCCGGGTGGCAGGTAAAAGCTCGTAGGATCGGTTCCTTTGCAAGTTGGTTGCTTTGCTTTTGTCTCTAGAAGTGTTGCGGAAGCAACAAACTTGCAAAGGAACCGATCCTACGAGCTTTTACCTGCCACCCCGGACCATCACCACTGAGCTATTACGCTTCATAACTCCGTTCGGAGAGCCGTTTAGCAGATTTGGAAGGCAGATTTGGAATCAGCGTCTAGAGACGCATCAGGTGGTATACATCTCATTTTATACGGCCACTTCGACCTACCATCCTTTCCTTGTAAGCCTAGACGGAGAAGGATTCCAGGCTGCGTGAGCAGTTTCCATTCTCCCCAAAGCTCATCCCTCTCTCTTTTAGGCTCAGTTCTGGAGGAGGCCTTTGTTTTTTGCGTAAACGTCGCCTAAATTTATTGAGCTTATTGACGCGTTACATTCAAGAACAACAGCAGAAGGAATGCTTGAATATGGGCGGCGAATTATGTCTAACATTGGCAGTACCTTGCCTCTTTTAATGCAGATTTTGTAAAAGAGAACCACATCAATCACAAACAACTTCCTAATACGGTTGTGACTTGTTTTGGATTATTCATTCATCAACATATCAAATTCCCATATTGTTGCTTATTGACAATCTGTCTGTAGTTATTGCGTAGGTTGTTTTTAACATGACGTCATATCCAGTTTCTGCTCGAAATCAGTTAAAGATCAGTAACGTTAACCCATTCACAAGCCCACAAAATAGTGGAACTCAACTGGATTTAGAAGAGTATTGAGGCGAAATCTTTCCCATTCTCACCGCCACTTTCATCAGAGGGCGGAGGCATACAAGGGCTTTTGTAGTCGTTTACCAAATGAATGATTTCGAATTGAATCTCACTTAGGCCGTCCGAAGCATACATTTCCCCTGCGTCCAGATAAATGGTGGACTCATGGGAGCACAAAAAGCTGAATTATTCATTGGGAATCTCCAAGTCTTTATACGGGTCGAGGTTATTGCGAGAACGCAGGAAGTAGGATTACATGGCTTATCCCGAAATTGAAGTGGTCAGCGCCAGCGTTTTTGATATTTTTTCTTGTGGTGTTGAGGAGAAGTCCCGTACAGGTCTACTTTCGCGCTGTAAGCAGAACTTCAAACTGACTCACTTGCCTCCCAGACATTACTGCCCTTGGAATTCAAAGGCAGTGGACAACCTGCATTGAGCTCCGTTCCCTATTGCCCTGGGCCACGGATATGGTAACGGAGCTGAATGCCTATCTTTGTTTTGATTTTGGGATAGATACAGTAATTTGGGAACGATTTGGCTCCATCATTCCGCTGATGAGCACAAACAGCGAATATTGTAATTTGTTTTCTACATCTAAGTATAGAAGTTAACGGAACTACTCAACACTGGGCTCAAAAAATTCAAAAATTTTCAAATAACGGGTAACAGAAACTGTAGAGTATTCAAGATAAGCATATATTATTTGAGATAAATGACATTACGCATTTTAAGTACTGAATAGTGTTGATTTTTTAAGAATTTCTAATGCTAATGCTAAACGTGAATAAGAAAGCAGCTCAGATTCACAAAGGAATCGTGGAGTGAGGAGAGTCAACAAATTAAGAAGATTGCCGTACTTAATCGTACACCGCAATTGCAGTCATGCATGGAATGGCTCACATAGATACTCTACGAAGGCTAGGGGAACTACTGCGCATTCACAAATTACCTTAAAGGACGAATTCACGATGAAAAAGCAACCCATTTCAAATTAACCTAGGGATGGTGAGTGGTACACGAAAGAAGGAAGAACCATGAGAAACGGCCCAGAACCCGAGAAATGGGACCCCTTCCTTGCCCGTTGATTTGAGCATTGATGCGACTCTCATCGCTGTGCCCTCTTCAACACTACGCTCTCTCAGCTATCTAATCACTCGCCACGTATTGAACTACGGCGAGTGATCAGATGATCGGTGGGCGGAGATCGCCGGACCCGCCAGCTTTGAGGCATGATAGGTCGCCGAGGTCAAATTTTTCCATGCGAATTGCGCGTCAGTTCGCACCCTCAGGAGGTCCGTGGGTCCCTCAACTAGGTCAGTTTCCCTTTCTTCGACCTTCATTCTAATCGTGAATTCCTCCTTTAAATGTCGGCACAGCAATGGCTGGCTATACTGAGCGGCCCTCAGATCGGGCTGTGAAAGCGAAATGCTGATGGCTACAGGAGACCAGGTAAATCTTAGACAGCTTGGAGGTGAGAGGAGGCGTGAGACAGTGCTAAAAGGGCACCATTTATGGATAATCTCTGATCTATAAATACCGCACAGATGATACGAACTAAGGTATGAATGTACACTAGTGTGCAAAACTTGGGGACGAACGTAGCTTTTCCAACGACGTGTTACTGGCGCGTAACATGACTCAAAAACAAACGTAACGTGGAACCTAACCACACATACAAAGAGCTGCCACAGGGCACTAAAGAAAGCAGTTAACAGGAACCGTTAAACGGTCCACAAAGCTATCAGAAGTTTATGATACTTGTCTCTGTCTTAAAGGACGAATTCACGATGAAAAGCAACCCATTCCAAATTAACCTAGGGATGGTGAGTGGTACACGAAAGAAGGAAGAACCATGAGAAACGGCCCAGAACCCGAGAAATGGGACCCCTTCCTTGCCCGTTGATTTGAGCATTGATGCGACTCTCATCGCTGTGCCCTCTTCAACACTACGCTCTCTCAGCTATCTAATCACTCGCCACGTATTGAACTACGGCGAGTGATCAGATGATCGGTGGGCGGAGATCGCCGAACTCGCCAACTTTGAGCCATGCTAGATCTCAGAGGTCAAATCTTTCGATGCCGATTGCGTGTCTGTCCGCACCCTCAAGAGATTCACCGCTCTCCCCACTAGGCGATTTCTCCCTTCTTCGACCTTCGTTCTTTCCGTGCAATCCTCCTTTAAGTTTTGCACAAAGTGAGTTCCTAAAGCTTCAAATTTATTTCCAATCGCTTCGAGAGAGTACTAATGTGGAGTATAAAACAGGTGAACAATATGTAGGGGAAAAAAGGGTGGAATAAAAAAAGGGAGCCGTCGAGGGGGCATAGAAGGAAGTTCTGCAACGGAACCTTCCTGACATGTCCTTCGATGAGCAGAAGCAGATTTCCGTCTATCGCGTCCACCGCCTTGAATCCATGAAGTCAATATACTATCGCGGATCTACCGTAACCACATCGGCCCAAAGCAGCTATATACCTTCTTCGATCCCTCCATTGGTGGAATGGAGTAAGAGAAGGAAAAAAAGGAGTGAAAACTTGTTCAAATCATTACAAAAACATACCATAGCTCAACTAAACGGGCTCAACTTGGCTAGGATCTTTGACTTTGTCAGAGCCTCAAAAATCGACAGAATATTAAGACTGGTAGCTCTAGCTATTCTGAAAACGAAACGGCTAAAACGTAGACGAGTATGGCTTAGTATTCGGAACTCATTTGAAACATACTAAAAGTTGACCTTGGATCGACAACCCACGGTCTGAACTGGAAATGTGAACTACGTCGACCTCGTTGACCTCATAATGAATCAAAAATTGCAATTGGCCGTGAAATTGCACGAATTCGCGGGTTTGACGAACACTCTTCTTTCTTATTCATCTTGGGATCCCCAAAAGATGTTCGGATCGCTTCTGTGACTTCGCGCTACGTAGTCTCTTAGTCCAGCGCCAAAATGTTTTTTGATATTGTCACTTATATATCCATACACCACCAGCAGTGGTTTGAAAGAGAAAAGCTTGAAAAATGTCAAAATCGCCTTGTCATGTCCTCTTTTAGAGCGAGAAAGACCTCTTCGTTGGTCACCGGGAGCAGGGGTTTATACAGAAAGAATCTATGTAGATCTTGAGCTTTCACTTCTTCATATTGATTGAAACATAACTTCGGAGAGAAGTGAGAGAGAAGAGTAAAATAGATCCAGCCTGAGCACGTGTCAAGTGAAATTAGGATTGTAAGACCCACCCCACTTCTACGCCCTCATACAAGGCTATAAAACGCCACTTGAGACCCTACGATTTGTTTCCGGCCCCATTTTCTACTCCCATCCTTCCATCCTTTTGCAATCATTTCT